CTATTTTATCATCTTGTGAAAACTTTATATGCTGTTAAAGAATTGTTCATATCGTCACTTACCAGATCTTTTCACCAGATTCATTTCATAATACTGTGAATTTTTCTTGTAACTTTTATAGGAAGTTTCAATATTTTTGTCTTCGGTGTCTTGTCAGAACTATTGTCATATGACACTATATCCACTTTATATTTTTATTGTTGTTTTATAATTCCAAAAAAGGCACAATGAAAATAGAATAGAATTGCGAATGCGCTGAGATGATTAAAAATGTTTTGATATACATTATTCATCAAATTTACTCACAACTGAGATCTATTGTGCAAATTTCATTATAGTCATTTAGACACTTCTAGGAAAAAAAGAGAACTAATAATTCTAAATGAAAACTGATATGACGAAAGCAGAGAAATAACTGGCAATCTTTCTCAAATGTTGGAAAGTAACTTGAGATGCTCTAATCCAGTTCAGACTCATAAGTAATAAGTTATGAATGCAGAGAACAGACAAAAGAAAATAAGCGAAACCTGAAAGAGCAGGAGGGCTAATCTGAATAATATTTTGAGTACATCTCATTTACCATACAATAAGTGTGCAAGCAAAACACTTTCACAAATAGTGATTGGGTTCCACAAATTCCAGTTTTATACGAAACGAGAAATAATTGAAACATTAGCATTATTATCATCATTATTTATATTGTTGTGAATTATAAGATGGTTCTAGAATAAAATATTTATCAACAAATATTTTTCTATATGTACGAAATTCCGATATTCATTTTTGCGGCACGCGCTAGTTTGAAAAAAATGTATCAGTCTTACATACACATTTTTGCCTTTTAATCACGAATATCAAGTCAAAACTTGGCGCCCCGGGCTATTCTTGAAGATACTTTCACCAAGAAGTCGAAAAATCGACTAGTTTAGTTCGTTTTCACTTTAGATTCTTGATCAGAGGACCAAAATAATTTCGTGAGTCTGATAAATGTCGAAGCAGGGAGTATTTTAATAGTTTGTACTAAATCCGTAGTTGTTATAGTTTTGATTATACTCTGCTGGGATCATTTATGATACAGTATGGCAGACTCAGTTGTGAAGAGTTTACGTTTATCATTAACATTAGCATAGTGAATTGCGTTGGAGGTGTAACAAGAAAAATAAAAATTTTCAGCCATATACTGTATGATGTAGATGACCTGGAAAACGGAGACTATATTCCTCTTGTATGATGTATGTTACCAAGTAAAACTACCCACGCATATACTAAACTTTGTTTTATATTTGATTTAATATTATATAACCCAAATAATGAACTCTTGGATAAATACGCAGAGAACATGTTACGTTACACCTAGAACATGTTACGTTACAACATAACGAAACATGTTAATGGTTACATTACGGGTCTTTTGTTAAAAATGGGTATGCACCACAATATAATAACAATGTATTCATTCATCGTCATCAAAGATGTAAAATGATACAGTACTTTTGAAGCTGTTTCTCAACAGACGACCTAAAAACGTAGTTTTTCATCGGACATTTGAAGCTAAACAATAAAAGCTGTAACCCTCTCGTTACGCGAAAGTAGCCAAATTCATAAAAAATTGATAACTTTATCACATCATTACTGTTTACATATTTTCAATTTTTCAAGTTCAACTCTCCGTATAATCTCTTGGCTATTCACTACATCGCGAGCATTTACTTGTGCCCTTTATGTGCTTGAAATCGGTAATTTAAACCTAAGTTATTCTGAAAGTATACCTAGGTATTTCAAAATACCTACTCGATTAATATTTTTCCTGAAAGTTCTCACACGTTCATTATTTGAAAAAACTCTTTCACGTGTTCTTTTCATTTGTCAATAAAGGTATTTTATACACCTGCTCGGTCCCATATACATGGGACTAATTAAATTTTTGTTTCTGAGGTCAGTGGCCCTTTCACCAAATCATGGATGCGCCCCTGAACATTGTTCAACATGCTCTAAATACGAACTGGTATGGAAAACAACTGTATTTATTCCTGAAGATACTGAATTTTGTCAATGTATTTTTTCAATCGAATGTAACAATCATATTTCAGTCATTTATTAATAAAACTATTTGTTTTCATAACAGTATATTTTTAATGAGAGCAGGTATGGAACATATTTTTAAAGAAATCCCGTTAGAGCATTTAAAAGCTATATTGAAATATCATCTATGATATAAAGTGGACTTACCTCTTTATATCACCTGATACTATAAGATAAACAACAGCTCACCAGTTTTAAAATGTTATGTCATGAAACATATCAATAACAATAAAGTGAGGTTATATGACGGTGATGCTGGTGATGCATTTGTAATATTACATTTTTGTTTGACTAAATAGTAACTTTTTCATAGTCTTCATTATGTGAAATTAGAATAGAATAGAATAGTTAATCATTTTCAAATCAAGGGATCAAAAAGTGCAACTAAAATGTCAACACAAAGGCTGTATTAGAGTTGACGCCCGGATCACTCGGGGCGCGCACCAAATGATTTTAGATCAATTCTTTTGGATCTCAGGACGATATCTGTCGGGTCACACTCTTTTTTTTTTTCTCTTCTTATAGGATGGTGTATTGAAGTTCAGCACACAGCACGTGCATATAAAGTAGCTCAAAATTTTCACATTTGTATGTAAACAGAGTCACAAGTATAATCCTGTTCTTTTAGCATTATACTTGTGACAGTCTTGTGGCAGGACCACAATCTAAGAGATGCTAGTAAGTTATGCTGTTTTGATCTCCCAAATTATTTCCCTATTTGCCTAAGTGAAAAGGTAACTGCTGATTGAGATGAATTTCACTTCTTACGTCTCTTTGAAAAACATCTTTTTGAATAACCTTGTATTATATTCATGTGAACTTATTTTATCCTCGGCATATGCAAATACATTTTTCGACGCAACAGTTTGAGGTAAAATAAAATAGGTATGCATATAAGTCCTGGTATTTTAACCAATTCGCTGTCGTTTTATAAAAAACTCTTGACGCAAGAAATGAGATTGAGCCAACTTTGTAGAACACATTTTGATAGATATTTTGTTTATATTTTTGATTTATGGGCCATAATGTAAGAAGTATCTTTCACCTAATACCTATCAAGTATTCCCAAATGTATCAACATTGAACTATCAACTTATCATTGTCACATTAGATAACTTTACATACTGAGTCTTTTTTACTGTGACATTGTCAAAACTGCGTCACTTGCGTACTCAGTACCTCCGTGATTATTCAGTGTTGAAATTAATTGGATCTCATTATTTCGTCATCAAGAGTGACGGAGTTCTAGTTCTTCTCCTTCTATAATTAAGGAGTGATTGTGTAAATCTTCAATCTCTATTAGAATTTCTTGTTGCTTGGTGTAGCAAAAAAAAATATGAAACTCAATGTAGAGAAATGTAAAGTAGTGAGTTATAGTCGAAAAAAAGAGGTTTATACATTCCCGTATGTAATACAGGATTCAGATCTGCTGAGATGTAATGAGATCAAAGACCTGGGGGTAATGTTCGATCATAAATTAACATTTGGTAGACATAGACATTTGGTATATAGATTAACTATATACTGGTTGCCAGGACATTCAGGTATCATGAGCAACGAAAAAGCTGATGAGTGTAATAGACACAGATCCTCCACTCCATATAAATGTCCTAAATTATTTCCAGAAGAATGTGACATGTGTCCCATTCGACACCTGTACAAACTAGTACAGGAAACAAGATTGTTGAAGTGGATGTCATAAGAATATTGTTGGAGTGGATGTCATAACAAGATTGTTGGAGTGGATGTCATTAAAAGATGAGAGAAAATGCAATAAGCCCATGAAGCTGCAGTGTTTTCCAGAGACTCAAATGAAATGAATAAAAACACTTTCGTCTAAATACCACCGGAAAATTTTATTTATACGACCGGTTTCAGGTTTGATCCCATTATCCAGTGGTATTTAGACAAAAGTGTTTTTATTCATTTCTTTCAAGTGATCGTGAATTATCATAAAGTAAACAAGTAATCAATCATAAATGTTTTTCAGAGACTCGGAAAAAATGGACAAGTCAGACAACAAAAATATAACTATCCCTTACATCTGTTATTATAATCTGCACAATGGATTATTTCAAAAAATCAGCCTGATTATTCATAAGGTAACATGAATCACAATGAAATAGTTTACCTGGATGTGGATTGTAGCCAGACAGTAAAATACCCAAGAAACACTTTTACTTCAACCTTGGTTACAGCAGAGTCGGGTACATTTTTAGAAGAAGCATAACTCCTGGACTCATATTTTTGCACAGTACATTTTTATCACTAAGAGTCATCATTTTATTATGTTTTGATGGAACCTCTAAATCTCCAGATATCCAAGAAATGTTTTTATCCAAGTTACTCACAGTAATGTATCAATTGAATTTGGGAAATTTTTGGCCCTACCATTTTTCTGTTTAGTGTAATTCCCCAAGTATCAAATATAGAAATAAAGCATCCGTTCTAGCAGTGTTCATTTTTAATTTTTCACTATATTAAATGGAACATTCACATAAGTCAGCACTCAATTTGAAAAAAGTGAGCAATATTTCACGTACATTCAGCACTTTCTATCGTTTGTTCACAGAACATGCTAATACTACTCTAATATATATCTTTTGTTCATCGGACAGAAAATAAATAAGGTCTATGTCCCCGGGAGCTTACTTTATTTTCAATGTCTTCAATTTGAAAAAAACGCTATTTCAAAAAAAAAAAACATCGAATGGAAAATGTATAATTTGCCCATGTAAATGTAATCAAAAGATGCCACAACAAATCAATTTAAATATGGTGATCACACAAAAAGTACTCTTCAAATTGAAAAAATAATTGGATAAGGGTTGATGTATAAAATTAATTGAAATTGAATTATTTTAACTTGGTAAAACCTTAAAATTAAAATTTCTACTTTTTCTACCACCCAGGAGTAGTATTTGCTAATCGTCGGATTCTACGTGTGTTCCTGTCTTGATCTCTGATTTTCTTCTCCATTTCAGCATCAGTCAAAGTTTCCAAGAATGGGGCCCACTGATCAGACTCACTCGGAGTCCTGAAAGGTACCTCCACAGTTGGCAAAGGTGCCTCGCTGAAAGCATATGTTCTTTGATGCCAAGATAATTGACCACGAATGGAATAAGCAATAGCCGTTACGAATTCGCCACCTAGGCCAAGTTCTGCGCAAAGTTTCAGTGCAAATTCCTCAGCATTATTTTGTTTTTCACTCATATCCCATTCAATCTGAAAATAAATCAAATTTGAAAGTAAAGGACGCTATTTGCTGGCTTCATTATATTATAATCTACCTGGTCAACTAAAGAAGTATTTCCGACATGGATATTGAGTTTGATAATAACTCTCTGATCGCAAGTTTCCTCAATAATGCTTGAAGGTTCAGCTGGAAAAGCCTCCAGTTGTTGTCTGATTGCTTGTGCAATAGCTGGTACAAACGTCAGAGGATTCAAATCAAGGTCATCACAAAGAACCTCAGCAAACTGCTCTGGGGTAATCAAACTTTCTGTAATAATGTATTTAATGTTTGTCGATTAAAATCTAAACCTCTATTGCAAAATTCATTTCCTATCTGACTTTATATAAAATTGGTTTAATAAATTTAAATTCATTATTGAGATTTAAACTTGTTTTTATGAAATAAAATTTCAATCCTCCAAACTTATCTGTCTATAGAATAAATTAATTAAATATTTCAACAGAAAGTGATAAATATCCATTATGCCTTGATTCATTCAATTTCAAGTAGTGTCATGCTGTTTGCCAGCTGCTACGGGACGGAATAGAGATCTACAAACACACGGATAATTTCAACAGAAAAGAAGCTGTGAACCTCAACCGAATATGGAATCCCATTCTAAGAAGTTCAAAAATAGCAAACAGCATGACAGCAAGTAGAAAAGGGTCGACGAAAGGTATGGACAATTTATCTAATACAGGTACAAGTATTAGCACACCACTACCTGACTCAACATGAACAGGCTTTATGAAATTTACCTAATCCAGGCATAGGCATTAGCTCACCAAACTACCTGAGTCAACGTAAATACGCCTTATGTAGCCGTAATATCCAGTCATCGGAGATTACTCAGGATGTATAAAACTCTGAAGAAGCTAGCCATTCGCGCCAGCGAAATGTCGGGAAGAAGTTTCAAAAACCGACGGTCTTCAAACCCGAAAAATAGTTATACTGAAAACCTCGGCCGCAAAAGCCTTGACTTTTTTGTTACCTGCAGTAGAATGTTCTTAGAGACTTACTCTACATGTTATGCTCTTTGTTCGTCCTCCCAACAAAGGTAGATATAGGTATTCAGACAATTATAATTCAGATGTTTCCTTTCCAACTGGAAATACCATATGATGCACTGAGGGATCTCTTTTGATACTTCTGGATGCGTCACAGGAGACGTATTTCCTAAGCCATACATATTAAGCCATACATATTTGTTGCTTACCTACTCAACAAAAGTTGTAACAGACTGACTGCCGATTCAGGACTAATAGCAGAGCACACTTTAGACGTACCTGCCAGCAAAACATTCAACAAGTCCCTACCAGAAGGTATTTACTACAAAGGATAACAAATCAAAAAGTATAATATGTATAAAAGATTCTGAAGTTCAAAAAAGAAATCAAGGAGCTCCTAATTAGAAAAACGCATCCAACTGTTGTAAATCACCCTAAAAAGAATTACGCCGGCCGCCGCTGGTCCTCATAAATCAATTGTGACGTGACCATGAACGCATTCAACTCGTCGTACCCTTCGCGGTTGTTCTAATTAGATGTCGCTTCTTTTGAAAGACTTCTAGTAGCGAATTTACTATTGGCTTCGAGGTACTTCAATTACCATATATAAGTGTTACCCACGTGCATATCCAGTAGTCAGGTTTAGCGGACAGTGCGGTACGGAGCGATCTAATAAGGCGATAGATATTGAAATATCATTCAAGTAATAATATGAATATGCTTTATTGCCAAAAAACCAGAGATCATATTGACAAAGATGCAAACGTTCACACTATAAAATTAGTACCAAATAGATATAAAATGTACCTGCACCACAAATATTTGCTTTGAAGGTATATAAGTAATTGTTTTTTAGTATATCAACCTGTTAATATACATACCACTATTCATTTATATCTGCTGCGTTAACGAATTGAAGTCATTTGAAATATATTATTTTCAATATTGAACATGTTTGTGAAAAACCTCGTTTGAAATCGTATATGTATTGATAAGTCCAATATCTATCCATCTGTAAGAACTTATGAATGCATTTCTGGTTCTTTAATGTTAATGTTTAGCTACCTATCCTATATCGTGTAAATGATCGATAACAATTGATATAGATATCTATTCATCTAATTATTTACCATTTTTATTCCATGTAAAGGTATCTCTCAATTTTTGTCCTTCAATTTCCATGTCGAGTCTTATAGGTACCAATACTTCTCCTTGGCAAGCATTTTCAACATTAATTTGTGGATCTGTATCGTCAAAACATAATGGAAAAGTTCTAACCTAAGAAAAAAACGGACTGATAACAATAACAAAGTTGATTACCCAACAATTTTCCATATATAGGTACACCAAATTTCACGAATTACAACATTAACATACAATTTAACAAAATCAACAGTAAAAGGTCATCTTCTACAGGAGATTGTCTTTCAGAATACAAATACTGCAAAAAATTGGGAATACCAGTGTTACTAAGCACACTTCAATGAATTGGCGTCCAACCAGATTTATTCGATGAGTATTCTTTGATTTCACATTCTCTCACTACTTCAGTCCAAAGATATCATCAGAATAAAAAGTAGCAACGAGTGGCCATTCCAAAATCGAATTTATAGGAAAAAACCGATCAGATTAAATAAATCAAATTTGGGGAGCCTGACTATCATAAAATTGTTTCTTGCTAATTGTTTTCAATTCTTGAACATAATTAAACTCCAGTTGAGAGACGGTGTAGGATTTTTTCATGAGTCAAACACAATAAGCAAGAAATAGTTTCACAATATTTGAATTTATATAATCCAACTGCATTTCATGTCCTGAGAAATTTAGGTAAATACATGAAAATAACTGATATTTAATATATCAGCTCTTAGCGTTTTCAAACAGAATTAGCAATAAATTATATGGATGCTACACATTTCTTTATGAATAATGGGAAATGACACTTCCTATGTTTTTATACCACTTGTATTCGTAACCAAGATTGCTTCAAATTCATCCTTCAAGGACATTTTTAAACTAATACAATAGGAATACAATACTTCAAGACGAAACTGCAGTAACGATAGCTACAAATACAAGTGGTATAAAAACATGAGAAGTTTTATTTCTCATTTTTCATGTGTTGCAGTTCTGGTGTTTGGGATTAGTGTTTGTGTTGGATTTAAAATATAATCCACAACTGATTCCATATTTGTATTGTATGCAAAAAGAGGGCTGAATTGCAAGAAAAAAACATTTACATATCAATGAATAAAAAAAGAAAGCTTAAAAAGTCTTCAGTAGCAAAGCTAAGAATTTTTTTTCGAAACTTGGCAACCTAATTTTTATTTCTTGACTTGACTATTTGCGATATCGCCAACAAATAACAACAAAAACTCTAGTAGAGTGAAGATATCATTAGGATGATAATTCCAAAAATAGGTATATTTTGTGAAATTGAAATTTTTCATTTTGAAAAAAATATACTTAGCGCAGCGGTAGCTGAGTTGGCGTTAGTAGTTGGTTCCACTCATTTAATCGACCACTAGGTGAAACGGTGGTTCGAGCCCACATACGGGACGATCAATTTTCACTGCCTATTGTCCAATCTGTGCTAGGAAGCGCACGTTGAAGGTAAGACCTGTTAATCCTTAGCTTGCACAGCTTCTGGTAATTAAAACTCACTCTGGTGAGTTTTAATTACCAGAAGTAACTTCCTGAAGTGGTCTATTTATGATCAACAGACAACTATTTGTAAGTATAATTGAAATTTTCTTGAGAACTAGTGCAAGCCATAAAATGAATATCTACCCAATTTAGCCTGACAATTTGTATTCAAAAACATAATAACCTTCTTAGATGCAACTCTATTTCTATTAATAGGTGTAGCTTGGGGAACTGCATCTAAGTGACTGGAATTTGGTAAGGAAGGTACCCATTGCATGTTCTTCTTTGACTTGCTCTCTCTGGGAGCAGGAGGTTCAGACGTGTGAACTGATACAGCTTTGTACCTGAAATTGTTCATATTTTCATCACACATATAGCAATGACAATATAGTTGACTCACTTCTCGTCATTGCCTTCTATGATATCTTCAACTTCTGTTGCTTTCAACAAAGAAACGCTACTAGCTAAAACATGTTGGCTCAAGCCAAGATCTATCAATCGTCTTCTTTCTTCATTGGTTATAGATCTTCTGAACATTCCAGGATATTTTTTATAAAGAGACCCTCGGAAGAGTCGGACATAGTTTCCAACCTGTAATTATTTTCAGATAACTAGTTGAAAATGAAAGAATGCTATCCCTCTACCTCTGATCCCACACAATAATATTCTCCATTTTCTTCTAGTTGAAAGCTTATGGGCTTGTCTCCATATGTCCTCAATGCCATTTCTGAACTATTTTAGTAAAACTATTACAAATTTCTACTTTTTTCTATTAGTAACAATCCAGTAAACCGATTAATCGAATATATAAATTGTATCTTAATATACTTTGTTTTCGGCTTAATAAATTGTTTACAAGCTGTCACTTGTCACAGTCATAAACCAATTTGCCAATATGCCAATGCAATGAAGTGTTCTTATATTCTAGGCTAGGCTAGTTGTTAAAATCAACAGTAAATTTCTGATGGATCGGTTCGAACAATAGAAACCCTTTGAGATCTCTGATGGATCAATAGATGGATTCATTGGATTTTTCAGTGCATTCAAGAACTAGTCTTATTCTTGAATTCGATAGCATTCCATCAGTCATAGTGATGCGATTAAAATGGAGGTATTTCATTCCGTTATGACCTTGAAGAACAAAGAACAAACTTTTTAATGGTTCCATCTTTCACTCCAGTGAAGCCAACATAATATTTTGACTGATCCCAAAATCCCTATGTTCTGTAAACTGTTCTGTGATCTTTCTGTTAAACAGCGATGCCAATCGTTGAGAAATCAAAAACATTGTGATTTGGAGAAGTCGGGGTTCTCAATTATTGAAATATACTTGTGGCTTATGAAATTAAGACTATGTTATTTTGTGTATTTTTGTAAAATTTTGGACTCTTTTATGGAGAAGTGGTTGGCGGGAAAAACGCTCACCTAAAATACAATTGTGGAAATATAAACCACATCAAAAGAAACATAAGAGAACTGAGATGAATAGGCTTCATACTGTGTGACCAATCCTGAAGGGGGTGTTATATGATGAAACACGTATTGCGGTTTTATAAAATGTTTAAAGTATTGTCCACTTCAATCACATAATTTAGCATTTTTCATAAGAAAAATGAACGACTTGTTGACTATAGTCTGTTGCAGTTACTTTATTATATATCGTTCAAATCTGCCAATGAGACGAATCATTCATATGCAAGATATCTTATCAAAAGAGGGCTCTCGTAGGTGTTCATACTAAACATTACTGTGAACCAAATATATCAGTGATCATGTTCGATGTTATCAATTCTGCGAGCTGCGAGTCTGTGCAAGCTTATAAAAATTTTATCGGGTCATGTGGAGCATGAGTACACACAAAAGTTACAAAATCACTGAATCAAAATTATCAAAATTTCAGTACGAAAATGTATTGAGCGGCAATTCAACAACCACATTTAGCCCACCCTTGAAAAAAATTGTTCCAAGGTCATTATACATTTGATGGTGTAAAATGACCTTAGGACACCAAGGGACACCTTATTTATGTATTAGTAAAACATTAAGTATAAATAAAGTCATTTGTTAGGAACAGTCGTAATTTATTATAACTATTTATGTTTCAAGTGACAGGAACATTTTCAATTATTTTATCCTTGTTAGGTATATGGTCCCAAAACCAACATCTATTGCATCCATATATTGTAAAAAGAATGGATTTTTTTCTACAGGTCTTTGGGATGTCGGATATTTCTTTTGTCAGCAATCTATAATGAACACTAAGTACACTCAGAAGTGACTACTCTAAAAAATATTCAGTGTAGATCAATAATGGTATCTTATCAATGTATAAATGGATATTAACGTTTTTGAAACGTGCGATGTGACATCACTGTATCTTTCGTTGTCAAGGAAATGAGAAAAACAAAAATTATGTTGCAATCGGTCATAAAATTCGAAAATGAAAGATTAGTTGTTGGGAAAATTTTTTTTTGGCTAACTACTTCTTATTTATACATAAAATGTGAAAAACTTCCGAAGAAAGGAAGAACGCGTTTGTGTTCAAATTAAACTCTTTACAAAGATGTATAGATCATGCATAGAAGTTTCTTCAAGATTCAAACTGGAGGAAGAAGCCCATTCGAAACAACTAACTTCCAAACATAAACGAACATTAAATCACACGAAAATCACTTTTTTCCTATTCAATCAGTATTCCAAACGTTCATTATGAAATTGAAACAGATATCATTTATAGGAACTCTGCACAACGTAATATATGAAATAGAATTGGTGTAAAATTTCACTTACATGGGAATCCATAATCTTTACGGTGTAGGTACTGTAACAAATTTAAGAATTAACCGTCTTAAACTAATGTTTTTCCAAAAATATTTCACTATCACAAACTGATTTATTTACAACGCTTAGCAACCAATGCTCAATTTATTTCCACTATTTGAAGTCTTTTTTTAATCGCTCGATTCACTTTTTGAACTCAACTGCCCTCTTGGGATGAGAAGCCGACTTTATATATCGGTAGCAATCGTTCTAGAATTCTGTAGTCGTTTTGGTACTCAACTAGAGTTTAACCGGCGGTTGTCGACTGCATTCCTTTTGCGGTGATGTCATGTGTTTGTTCGCTTGGTCGACATATCGGCCAGGGGCGGCTTCAGATTCGTAACATTGCCCCCTTTTCAAAGACATTTCGCCCCGAAATGTCATCCTTGGCGTGTGTCGATACCTACAGGACTCCAATGTCTGCACTGTGAAGTTCGATGGAAGTAACACTCCACAGTCTTCATGCTCGGTCGTGTAAGATGGTTACCGCACACCAAAATCTTGATGCCGCTGGATCTGAATATCGTTTCCCACATACTTCTCACAATTCTCCAACCCAGCCTGTCGAGCCCAGAGGCTAATTTCGGGATTGCCAAGTCCACAAGTTTCTGGTCGAGCATCGTGTCCCTCAGTCTGGTGAGACTCCTCCAGACATCTTCATAGGACGGTTTGTCTCGAGAATGCTTTTTGGTCACCAAGTAGAAAATGTTTCTCTGACCCTCCTTCAACTGTAGCACTCCTCCGACTTCAGGATTCTGTTCTCGTAATATTTGGAGCTGACCTAATTTCTTGTTGAATACCACCGCGATACCCCTGGACATTTGCAGATCCCCTGCCAGGCAGTGAGCAAGTGCGTAATCAACTGGAACCTTGAAAAGGTCTCGTGGCTCTTGAGTTACACCGTGTATGACCTTCTGTCCGTTTGAGTAGGTATAAAGACATGAACTTCTGGAACGTCATTTCATCCTCTAGTGGTCTGACGGCGCGAATTTAGTCGTGATGTCCAGCATAAGGAGCCAATCTATTAAAATGGACAACCCTACGACAGAAAATTACAGTTCCATCCACTAAAACTTTACAAAAGAAGTTTTCAGACCTGAGAATCACAAAAGGTGACGAAAAACATGATTTCGCATTTTCATATAAATCAACCCATACAGACAACTTTTCAGCATAAACTAGCAGCTTACTACAGCATGATCCACATACTCATTAGTATCCCTATATCAACAGTGAATTTAAATAAAGAAATAAATTTGATAAAGTAGCTAGTAGTAAATAACAACTTCAATCTAGACAAGAGGCATCACATTCTCGACAAAAAATTTGAAATTGAATTTAATGACATTCAAAGGAAGTTTTATATAATCGCTGATAGATAGTTTTAACGCTAAATCAACATACACGCTGAATGATACCAGGCGACTCCATTGTTTTACAAGACGACGAAAAAATATTATAAACATTCTACAAAAGACCTGTACATACTAGTACAGGGAATGAGATTTCTAGAATGGATGTTATGAAAAAAAAAACAGGAAAAAAGTACAATGAGCCTAGTAGGCTAAAGTGTTTTCCTGAGATTTGGGGGTGTAGTATAGTATAGAATCGTTTATTGAAGTGGAAGCTTATTCTGTGTCTTTACAATCCAAGTAGCAAACTCTACTGATATTCTTTTTTTATGACTATTCAAGTAAGTTTACCAAATTATTTATTCCAAATGTCGATCTTGCGAACTAATCAAAGAGATTATTGCCGAAACTTGGACTTTTGTCTCTTGTATTCATATTTTAGCACTCACGGCATAGAATAAAGTTTAGACGGGGTAAAAATTGGTTCTAACAGCTTGTCCTTAGTTTTGAAAAATATAAATTCATCACATACACGTATTTTCTTACTTTCGGAGATACGGCCACACTAAACTCGGACTATTTTTGTTATAAAAAACTCGTAAAATGATATTTTTTTACGATCGTATACTGCGGACCTTGTTCACTCATTTCAAATATTTCCATAGAATTAAAATGTTCTAAATGATATAATTGCTTCACTGGCAATATCAATGTGAATAAATGTGAATTGTGTTTGAACATGTTTTTGCTTTGCTGTTGAAGATTGTACGTATTTTGTTTATTTCCGAAAATAAATTCAATTTTTCAATCCAGTCTTCTTCTGAATGCAACAATACACACACTATTAATATGGAATCATTTGTGAAAGGCAAATTCTGAATGACAATAAATTAAGAGTGAAGAAAATTTTATAAAACAAGATTTAATTTGCAAGCCCTCAAAAAATAATTTTGAAATTGAATCAAACCCATTGATTTATCACCTAACATTCAATCTCTTCTAGAAGCACTTGTGTCAAAATCAAGTTACATATTCAATTTTTCTGCTCAATCTATCTTCAAGCTTTTATATCACATAAATTGTGTAAGGTGAGAAATTGATGCGTTTATTTCAAGATATTTTTTTCCATTTTTTTTTCACCAATATTTTTTTTGTTATCGTTCCTTAGTCTGCGACATGGTCGCATTGTTGAAATATTGGGAAATCAATGAACATATGTTTTGGGCTAAGGCAGCACTAGGGTTCTTTTCCCGCAGGAAGTTGAGACTGGCCTGAACGAATTGTTCTTTTAGATGATTTGATTTATAGACTTCAAGTATGCCCACTGACTATTTGTGAAAAGTTTTCTTTCCTTATACGAAGAATTGGGCAAATTTCGGATATGCAGTTGGTTACCTCGTTCACAGGCAGATGGGGCGACGACAAACCTGTTGTTTGTTGTATGCTTCAGCTTAGTTCGAGGATTGATACTCTGAAGGAATTTGATTTTCAATTATCGGAAATCATCGACTTTATGTTAATGATATACACTACCTTGCACTGACGAGTGGCCAAACAGCCCTAAACCACCGGTCTGCAAGTGTGTTCCAATAATTGAAAATCTATTGCGGTAGTTGTAACGCCAACAAGCATATGCAGGAATAACTTCTGTGAAGAATCCTGCACTGACACCTGTCGGATATAATTCAACGCCCTTCGTGGTATTAGCCAGGGGAGTAGTTGTTTTCTGATAGGTGTCAGTCTATTAACCTACTGTGTAGGGAGTTGAGACTGGCCTGAACGAATTGTTCTTTAAGATGATTTAATTGGATATTAGTTTAACGCAGCTGCTGATGAAGAAAGAAATCACCATGTTAACAAGGACTGTATTATTTATTTATCAGAACTATTGAATGTTTATTGTGGAAGTCAATAACAATCTGGAGATCACATAAAAAGCAGTTCTTGAATAGGAAGATCTTCAAGGAGTTTCTAACAAGTCATTTACGGAAAACTCTAAAATGGTCATTGAAATTGGTCCTATTAAAAGGCTTTTTTGTGACGACAATGATGTATGTAGCATATTTAACGATAACAGTATTGATCAAAGAATGTAAACTTTCACGGCCGAAGATAACTGGCCGTGGTCTGCATTACCAAAGACATTATCATAGGCGATGTGGATTACCTAACCTTGTTTGTGTACAATTAAGGATAGTTAGCCAGATTTTGATGATGTTCATTGACATTAGAATTTCTCTGATAGTTTTCATTGGCCTAAATAATAGATTCACGTCGTGTTTCTCTAGGATTCTCCCAATCCGGTCTGTAACATTTTAACATAGAAAAGGAATGCTTTTCTCTAACTAGCCTAGCTGAGATTACTTTGGCGATCTCTCCTTTAGGTCGTATGATCCGCTCGAATTATCTTTCGCTATACCCCTTCCTTTTGAGTTTCTCAGAAAGACTCTCATGTTCACAGATACGTCGTGAGTAGGAGATTTGAGCCGGTTCTAAGCCTCCCCCCACCACTATGACGTCACGTGGGGTGGATGACCTAGACCGACTCATGTGACCCTGAGAAATATGTCGGTGCATGCCACCTTGAAAAATATGTATGGTGTATATGACCTTGAAAAATATGTCTGGTGCATAGGTGGTATGTGTACATCACAGATTACAGCAGGTTCTGGGCCTCCCCCCACCACTATGACGTATTAATTGTTTTTTTTGTTGTTATTTAGTAACATCAAGGCGATGTGACCTTGAAGGGTCTGGTGCATGGATCGTTCAGAATTTTTTTCATATGAGATTTTGTGTGTGTGTGTGTGTG